TTATGTATCTCACGTTGAGCTTTAGAAAATTTCCACAAATATTTTATTATTTAGCTTCTAACATTTAGCAAATTTTTACTAAATCTTAAAGTGCCTGTGACGTCATTTTTTTGGTAATAAATATGAATGCGTTTTTGAAAATATAATTGATAGTTGCAAATAAACACTGCTGAGATGAACATTTGAGTTCTTCACATATGAAGTAGAGTGATGCCAAAAGGGAAAGTCTGTGAACAGCAGTGTTACAACAGCTAACAACACAGACTGTAGAGATGAACCTGGTGTTTCTTTACATTGTTTTGAGTCACTATCAGAAAGATGGAGTCATTTAAAGGGTATGCATGTCACAGGCACTTTAAAGTWTGTTTTAATGTGTTTTCCAGGTATGTCGTTCAATTCTATACCACAATCAAGTGTGTTACCTTCAGTTATGAAAAAACAGTTTATATCGAAAATAAATTTGARTTTGTATCATTGTCTAAGCGCTTTGTAAWTGGCCTCTGTCTCTTTATGAACCTCCTACCATTTCTGACACTCCCACTTCATCACATCTTCACAATGCTTAATGCTGTTTYCAACTTTTTGRAGGAGCGTTGCGTTTTGTTATTAAAAAAAGAAACATCAAATTTGAAAAATGGCAACTCWGGATGCAGTTGAAACTTATMGATCCAGTGAGGGGACATGGGAGGGATTTTTTTTTCCTGTGGCGTTACCTCGAAATACTGTTTGTAATCCCACGCAAAAGTTTAATGTTTTGTATTAACTCTACTGAATGAAACTTTTATMTTGAAATATGCGGCTACCAAAACAGGATGATTTACCACAAGTTGGTAAAAATGATGGTGATTGCGTTGCTGCATAGAGTTAAAATATCTGCATATTACACATAACTCCATGCATGGCTGTGATATATTCATTCTGAAGCTGAACMAAAGTAGTAACCTAACTCCTGTGTAATGGTGAGCATGTGACTTTGTTAATAAACAGGCAAGCACAACAATAAAAAAAGACTTTTGCGTTCCCATGCAAAAGTGTTGCAAGGGAACTTGTGAAGAAACTTTATATAGATCATTATGAAGATACTGTATGTTTTGCAATGAAATCAGACTTAGGAGAGGTGTTCTGTACGCGGCAGGAGCTCAGCTGCAGACAACTTCAGGGAGGAGCTTTGGGTAAACAGGCGGTGCTTTGTATGAGTAAAACAATCATTTTCAGATGATGATTTCTTTTCAACTTTCATCATCTGCAATACAAATGTTTTCCTCTTATTTGACTGACAGGTGTCAGGTTGTGAAACATGCAACATTTACAAAAGCTGAGCACCAACAGCAAATGCTGCATTCCATTCTGAAACTCTTAAATGGAAACTTTAACATTTAAAACCTAATTTTTACATTTCGATTTAAAGCATGGACATAACGTTTAAATTTATCATTTAGTAAAAAT